AGTATACAACTTCTTCCCGTCCAAGTGATTGTGCACGCGTTAAGGAATACCTCAGTACCGATTGCCGGGTGGCGGTACAAGTCCGCCAACGGGCCACTTTAGGTCTATTTCACATCACTAACACGTAAAAAGAAGGTGGTAGACAAGGACCAGTCGACCGAGGCAGTACCACCCGCTAGCTTTACCCAGGGTGTCTTATAAATGTCCGCATGTTTCCACACCTAAGCTATGCAGTCGGTTATCTACCAAAACAAAGAAACTAATGATGATGGATCCCTCGAGCACTAAAAACTCCGGACGTAAACTCACTCCACTCTCGGAATGTCCGGGTGGAGGGTGGGCTCGAGGGAACAACATCGAAGATAAAATTTGTTTTTCGAACATCTGCGGGATCAACAGCAACATTGATGCTGTTCATCACTACCTGCAATCCAATCGTCCCGCCGTGCTTTTCTTGGCGGAGACAAAAATCTCAGAGACTGCACCGATTAACCATCTCAACTTCCCAAACTACGAGGTGCACTCCAATCTGAGAAAGAACGGGGGAGTTGTGGCTTTTGTCCGCAGCAGTCCTTCCTGCTCCAGGGATCTTTCTTTGGAATCAGACCGGAAGGACATTCTGTGGCTTCGCCTCAACTCCAAAACATCACCCAAATTTATTTGCTGCCTTTATCGCTCTCCCTCGAACCATAACTGGGATGACCTACTCGAATACCTCGCCGTCCAGATCGACTTCCTGAACATCAATCACCCCGCTTCAGAGGTAGTTCTTCTCGGTGATTTCAATGCCCATAATGAGCTTTGGTTGGGCTCAAATAAGACCGATGCAGCAGGTCGTGCAGTCGAAGCGTTCGCTCTTACTGAAGGGCTGACCCAGCTGGTGACGAGCCCTACTTTTTTCCCCCGCGTCTCGTCACACGCCAGTAGCCTGCTGGATCTCTTTCTGACCATACAGCAATATATATTTACGACAAATGTTAATTACCTGCTAAAGGCAGATAAGGCTTATTCAGACCTCTCATGTTACAAATTTATACCTGTGTGGCATTTGTTATTTTCTTTTCGCTTTTTTTTGCTTTTGTATTACGTTTATAAATTGTCCTATAAATGGGAAACTTTTGGACAATAAGGCTATTATTATTATTATAACCTTCTCTTGTTTGCCCTCCAGGACATCTTAATTTTTTTTTATTTCTTTTGCTCAATAAATGTTTGTGTACTGTGTGAGTTTGTATCTCCTTTAGCGCCAGAGACCCAACATTGGTTACTTGTTATTTCTTTACCTAGTTCTCGGTTTACGTGGAACAACAAACTTTCGGAATACAAATAAAGCAACTTCCCGTCTTATTGATTAATCCTTCTAGCCGTCTTTCTTCTTCTCTTCTCCCCCAAGAATTAAAATTTGTTTTAAGTTCACCTCAAAATTAATCCGTGTTCCAAGTCAAAAAAGCCTAGGTGATTGCTTTTAAACTGATACAATTCTGTTTTTCTTTGCTCTTCTCCTTTTTCCTTCTCTTTCCCTTTCTCTTTTTCCTTGTCATTGTCCGATTTCTGGGCAACCAGGACAGACACATTCGACTAACGTATATTACACAGTGACTGAAGGGCAAAGGTCCTATGGACCGCCCAGGCAAGCAAATGGAGAATAGTACGAGATCACATTTTGCTCCGGCTAAGCCTGTCACTGTCACGTTAAAGTTTATAGGCGAGGAAAATTTGCCTTCTAGCCACATCTTTATCCAGTTTTGTGCAATTCTCTTCCGGTCTGGTACCAGACTATGCTAGAATCCTTTTCCAAACTTCATTACAGCAACCGGTAGCTTCTCCTCCTTCTCCAAACTAATGCAATAATGGTGCATTGCTCGGAATTGCAGATTTATTGGTCGTTCTCCCGTGCCGTTGCAATGCAGCTGCAAAAGTTCCTGCAGCTTGCAGCTTCGCGTTCGGGTTGATGAACGGTTACGTTTTGTTACAATGTTGATGTTAGCGCGATCGAACGGAAAAATAAAACACCCGGCGGCGAAGCACTCCACAGAATCCTTATTAGAAATACTTTTCGACTATAAATTTGTTAATCCATAAATCTCAGCACTGAGAACAAAGTACTATGTACCCACGGGTAGTTTTTGTGATACAGAACCCACACGTTGGGCTGTCGGTATCCACACTTTTGCAGCGGACCCGATCACGATAATTGCATTGTAACAACTACTTGGTGTCTTTTTACCTTGTTATTACGATTCGTACAAGCCAATTGACCACCATGATCGTTCAGATGTACGAGCCCCTTCCCACTTCAGTGTCAGTCAAAAATAATAAAATGTAGCAGGATGTTATAGGTTTAAAATATTAACAATGAATATTTTGATAATATATAGTAGAAAACACCAACTTTATCACTCCCTAATCAAATTTGCAGCATAAAAATAACACATGTTGCAATTACAGCATATCAACCTATTTTTATTTCAATGCAAAATAAGTCTATAACGCATAGGTGGCTATGAAAAATAAAAGCCATGACAATTATTTTTATTAATCACAGCTGTCAGAATACGTTTTTAACAGTTTTGGGCAGTTAAGGTTTTCAAAATGGGTAGAGGAAAGGTTATTACTGACAAGAAAATTCGGTTACTGATAATTAAATTTTTTAATTCTGGGAAATCAAACTCGGTAATTGCAACTTTGTTAGACTTATCGCGGTGCAGTGTGAGAAATTTTGTTAGAAGATATAACGTAACTGGTTCAGTTAATATTAAGCCACGACATGTGAAAAAAAGGAATATCACAAATGCCGACCGAAGAGCATTAAGAAGAATAATCGTGAAAAGCAGGCGTGCCAATTATTTACAATCAAGTGCTCTGTGGAGTGGCGCTGTTGGAAGGAGAATTTCGAGGTCCACAACTCATAGAAAAGCCCACAAACTGGGATTTGGCACTTGCAAGGTAAGTTTTCTTATAAAAAAAGTGAAGTAAAAACCCTAAAGCTGCATAACTTGCTTATAGGCCAAAGAAAAGCCACTATTAACTCTCGTTTTACGAGATATTCACCAACGATGTTGGAATTCAAGTACTTGTTTGGCCGCCAAGGAGTCCGGGTCTCAACCCCATTGAGCACATGTGGAAGAAGGCTTAGACAGAACTATGAATAATTTCAAACTGTGGCTGCGTTGGAACAGGCGTTGGTAAACGAGTGGGGGCAAATACCCCAAAACATAATAGCTGGATTAACTGAATCTATACCAGAAGGGATGAGACCTGTTATTCAAGCCCGGGGAGGAAATACTCGTTCTTGATAACAATATCTAATTACCAATGATGTCACTGTATTTTTTAAGTTAAATTGTTTATGGTTATGATTCGCATAGTTTTCTTACCAATGTTGTCACTGTAATTTTTTAATTTAAATGGTTTATGGCTATGATTCGCATGATTTTCTTTAAAACAGCATACACTTTTAATCTTCAATAATTGTGATATTGACATGAATCAAAAAAGTACTATTGAGAAAAGTTGAGGCTTGAAATTCTCATACGAATACATTATTCAGTAATCCAATGTTTCAAGAAGGTGTTCAGAAATGTAGGGCAAAATGCAGCTTTTAGTTACAACAAATATTTTAATAATAATAATAGACGTCTTTATTTATCCACAATTACATTGTAGTATAGCTAGATGTCAGACTTATATGGCGAAGTTTAGCATGCTGCTACTCTTACACTTAACCATATAGCCTCTAGCAGATGTTCAAAAGAATACACTATCCACAAACAGATTTGGTTCATTACATCGAAAGTAAAATTTAGAAAAAGAGAAAAAGGCATACTTTCCAAACCCAAATGCACCAAAAAATTATTAATCTGAATTAAAGATGAAATAAAAAAGAACTGAATGATTACGTAAATTACATGTTTGGAGGGTTGAGTAATAATGTTTTAACTTTTTGTCGAAAGACAGGTAATGAAAATTCTTTATATACTTTAGGAAGGTCATTATAAATAATAGCAACATTGTAACAAAAACTGCGTTTAAAAAGTGTAGACGTATTCGGGGGTATTCTAATATTATTTTCTCTGAGAGTTCTACAGTGAACATCATTATTAAATGAAATTTTTTCCTTCAAGTAATAAGGTTTAGACGTGAGCAGCAATTTGTGAACAAAAACTGAATAGTGATACTTGACCATGTCACTAATTTTTAACCAGTTTAGAACGGGATATTTCGCTGATACATGATCAAATTTACGTAAACCAAAAATGAATCGTATACAATTATTTTGAATAACTTGAATAACGGTTTTAGTGAAATTGTCTATACGATATTACAATAATTTAGCATAGATATGACCAATGCTTCACATAGTTTTTTACGCAACTTAAAATTTAGTAAATACCTGTTTGCTATAAGAGTCCGCAGCCGTAGGTTGGTTTTCTGAGATAGACTTTTAACATGTTCAATAAACCTTAATTTTGTATCAAAAACAACACCAAGAATTTTTGCAGAATCAGAAAATTGCAAGATTTGGTTATTTATCTGAATGTTCAAGAGCTGTGTTACATTGTATGTTTTTCTTTCTGCGCAAAATAATAACATTTTAGATTTTTGTGGATTAATAAGTAGATTGTGATCTAAAGAGTATTTAATTAATTTATTAACATCGTTTTGTAAAATTTGAGTAGTATTATTGATATTATCTGGGTTAAAATAATGGAGCAATTGCGTATCGTCTGCAAATGACTGGACATGAGAATTGTCAATACCTTTGCTTAAGTCGAACGTATATATGAGGAACAGAAGCGGCCCCAATACAGAGCCCTGAGGTACGCCCCAATTGTTTTGCAAGCTCGGCAGTCGATAATGATAATGAAATCACCTAGAACTTAACGAAACTGATGAAAAGGTTAAAGAGTTATTTCAAATTTAATTTGAACAAAATTTTGCTCATCCGGTTAATTTTTCGTGGCAGTGTAGGATACAATAAAACCATATGGATTTGATACGCTTTTAATGAGCATTCAATTATATCCACTCAAGTACAAAATATGTCCTTGCACTGTGTGTTATTAGGATATCTTGCACATAAAATTTCATCTGCATCTTCTCCGGCTTCGTCGACGAATATAGTTGTAATCTTTCAGAAAACCGTTTCTTGAAGGGTTGCTGTTTGTGCTCCTATTCCCATCGCGTGAGTCGTCTGACCTTTCCCTCTTCCTAGAAACGTCACTGATTTTTACCCTTCTTTCAGAACATAGACCTAGATCTTGCAATATCCTTGAGAGCGAACATTTTACTCTCACCCAAATATCGTCGATAAAGACACTGGGTCCTTGTCTGCAATAGAGAGAATAAAACCGATGATTTTCTGTCAGGTCATGGTATCAAGGGTTATAAATAGTAACTATTGCATTAGGTATACTTTATCTGAAGTCACTTGAAACACTGTGAGATACCGGGTGCGTTTTATATATCTATATTTAACACGCTCTGTTGCTGCAAAAATCGCCAAATTTCGCAGCAAATATAAGATCAAAGGCAGTTTCACCGGTCCACGTGGAGTAAAGCACGCCTATGCGTGGACATAGCCAATGAGAAAGCGTGTATTTCAGAGCTCCGAACAAGTGCAGGTGGCTACTGAAAATTGAAACAGTTTAGCCAGTGCCGTGTAGCGGTGAATAAACGTGTTTTCTTTAGTCTGTCCGTGTTTTTTCATAGATTTTATTAGTTTGTGTGTTTTTGACTTTTGAATACTCAGTTTACTTGTTGATTTAATTGTTGTGTTGATTGTTCTTGTGTGTCCTAAATATGGCTCTTTGGAGACCTTGGGAAAATGCTCCGAGGAGATGGTTGATGAACCTGTGCAGGCAGAATTCTTTCATAAAGATTTAGAGGAACAGACCCAAAGAGTAATCCTAAATAAAATATGTATGATTGTCTGAAAACCGAAAATCCAGATTCCTCGCAAAATCAAATTTTAAACAGAATTTGTATCCTGACAAAAATCAGTCGGTCTACCATTTATCGGGTTATAAAAAGGGGAGATGTAGTCAACCGTTCCTTCCACAGAAAGCGCATAGGGCAAAAATTAAAAAGAATAGACGTGGGTTTTCAGGAAGATATTCGTCGTATAATATACGGATTTCATAAAGAAAATTTGGTGAACACATTGGAAATGATACGGGATAAATTAAAAGATTATCCTGAAGATTTTTATAACTACAAATGCTTAGACTCACTGCACTGTATTGTAAAACTGTGTGGTTTTCAAGACAAAAAATTAGATAAAAGAATGGTGATTATGGAGTCGTCTCGAATCGTTGAATTGCGCCAAGAATTTTTGCACAAAGTTAAAATCTATAGAGAGCAGAAAAGAAATCTGATTTACCTGTATGAAACGTGGTATGATACCCATGATGTTGTGCAGTACGGCTGGGTTGACGACAGCAACAAGTGCATTTTAAATGCACCATGCAACCGTGGAAAACGAATCATTATTCTCCATGCTGGCAGTGAAAATGGATTTATATCTAATGACTTGCTGTTATCTGCCAAAAATATCAAAGAATCATGTGCCGACTATCATGAGGACATGACCTCCGACTTATTTGAAAAGTGGATAGAGCAGCAGTTAATACCAAACATTTCCACAAATTCAGTGATTATTATGGACAATGCGCCATACCATTCCCGACAGAAAAACAAAATTCCGAATACAGGCACAAAAAATCAAGACATTATTGATTTTAGGAAGGATAAGGGAATGGAAATACCACAAAAATCAACCAAAGCCATATTATTGGATCTTATTAAAAGAAAAAAATTTGAAAAAGAGTATTTTGTTGACAATCTGCTTCAGCAAAATGGCCATGAAGTATTACCTCTACCTCCCTATTACTGAATTTTTAACCCGATTGAGTTGGTCTGGGCTGCTTTAAAAAAAAAGTAAGAAAACAGACCCCTCAATTAAGTAAATCGCTATTGGCCACAATAAGAGATGCAGTTTCTCATATTGCTGCCACAGACCTATGGAAGCAGTGTTCTAGGCATATTATTGAAAAAGAAAATGAATATTGTGTTTTGCCTCCTGTAAATCCCGTTGTAATTCCTCTACAAGATGACTCTAGCGACAGCTCCGAAGGCGAGGATGATATATAAATACCTATAATGTAAGTCTTTATATACCTTTTTATATACCTACCTGCTATGTAAATATTTGCCTATGTCAAACGTTGGAATTCTGTAATTTTTCCATTTCTTAACTTTCAGTCAACATAAATTAAACTCCCAATATAAGTATTTTTTATCCCAAATCAAAAAAATAAGAAGATAGTAAAATCCATTTATTGTGATATAAAAACATTATTATTATCGTTCTAAATAAATGACCGCACGCCTATGATACGTCATGAAATTACAAAGGACGCGCCGACCAAAGGTTTTTATGCTATTTCAAGTGACTTCAGATAAAGTATACTTTGAATATTACAGAGCTTACACAACCTCCACTTCTAGATTTACATAAAAATACCTTTTACGCAATATTTGGTTTAATGCCGTTGATTCTGATTACTTATCAATCAGATACTAATTAATTATTTTGATTGAAGTAAAATCAAATAAACGCCCAGAAAAGCGAGGACAACACTAACAGTTATTTTGTCTTGATTTTTTGGACTGTCAGAAAGAAAGAAGGAGAAAACAAACAAAGGTAACCAGAAACGCTACAAAAAAGAAAAAGAAACACATAATCAACAAAAAAAGGTATAGCAGAGGGCTAGTCGGTGAAGGTCTTCTGAAACATAGGTGTATATTACTCAACTAATACTGTGTAAAGTTAGTCAAATGTATTAGTGTGAAGATTACAGAACTGGTACAGTTGTAATAGTCTGATTTTAAATCTTAGGTCCGTATCGTCAATCGTTCCTTTACGCCTTTATGGACTCCGTGAATTTTATAGTCTTGTTTTTCTCCTTCAGAAAGGCTGGGTGTTTCTAGATTTTCGTGTTAGCGTCAGCGCTCTCCTATTGTGAGGCTGTTTTCTTTTCATTTCAATTTCACGCTGGTATAAATCAAAAGCATGAACAATTTCAAGCAAATACATATTCGCAACATAACAAAATAGAATGCTTAGAAAGCTATGAAAATCAAGGAGGCCATAAAGGTGTCCTACAATTGTAGGTCTTTGATGTGCTAAAAATGGCAATGAGAGATGAACACGGTTCAGACCCTAGAAAAAAAAATCCGATGATTCTGCAGAATTTCTCAAAATACGAGGTATTGTTAGCAAGCTATGATGTTATATTACATCTATTCACCATCTCTTCTAGCCCATGTAATCAGGGTACGAGATCCGGGTTGAATCTATAGGTATCTATTTTCAAACAAAACTTAATTTTTACGAATGATAATAAGAGAATAGATGGGGTGTTCTGGAAAATTTAGCCACAATTACCTGTAACTAAACACAGGATGAGTTTTTAATGTGGGCTCAATCGATAACTCTGCTGTTGCGCATAGTGTCTAACAAAGTTAATTACAAAAATTGTACCCATAAATTATTACATTACATTTTATTGCAGATTTGGATACACTCTTTCAAACTAAGTATTTGATATATTATAAGGTTCTATACTAAGTGACATATAAATCCGAACACCCAGCTTAAATGGCTTTATTTTAATAAAAGTTGGTGAATGTATTTATCTTACTGTAAATAACAAGTGAAAAAATTTTCAGCCTTATCAGTTGGACATTCCGGTTTTTATACTGCTTTTTTTTAATTCACTAACGCTCTAAAAATGAATATTTCAGCCGCAGTAAAGAATCAACGTTGGCGGATTTTGGTTCTTGACATCCTTTACGATCGGTTACGATGCCTAGAGTACGGAGACCTGTACGATTTCGTCAACTTAGTGAGTTTGATAGGGGCCGTATAGTGGGACTTCGGGAAGCTGGACTTTCTTTTCGGGCAATTGCAGTTAGAGTGCAAAGAAGTGTAGACACTGTGGTTAGGTGTTGTCAGGCATGGCTTCGAGAAGGCCGTACGCAAAGAGCAAGGGGCACTGGACGCCGCCGTAGAACAACAGACCGCGAAGATCGCCGCCTAAGATTATTGGCCTTAAGGGACCGTTTCTCCACTACCAGGTCCATTGCAAATGAATGGTTTGCAGAACACGGAAGACCTATTGGCATGCGAAGTGTTTACCGACGAATGAGAAGTTTTGGCTTGTTTTCATACCGGCCACACTGGGTCCTCCCTTTAACTCGAGAACACCGACGTAATCGCCTTGAGTGGTGCAGACAACGGTCACTCTGGGATCATCAGGAATGGAACAGTATTGTCTTTAGTGACGAGTCTCGATTTTGTTTAGGCATGCACGATGGTCGTGCCAGGGTTAGAAGGCGACGTGGTGAAAGGAGGAATCCACAGTTTTTTGTTGAAAGACATGTTCATCACACTGTTGGAGTTATGGTTTGGGGTGCTACAGCTTATGGTTCCAGGTCACCTTTAATCTTCATCAGAGGTAACATGAACGCGCAGCGTTATATCCACGAAGTTCTAGAACCCCATCTTTTACCCTATCTTGACACCCTGGCATATCCAACTTTCCAGCAAGATAATGCCCGACCACATGTTGCAAGAGTCACAATAGACTTCTTTCAACATAATGATGTCACATTGTTACCATGGCCACCAGGATCTCCCGACTTATCCCCAATTGAGCACGTGTGGGATATGATGGGTAGGAGATTGCTCAATTTGCAACGTCCTCCTCAGACTCTAGAAGCACTTCGAGAGGAGTTGGTGGTTGCCTGGAGTGAGATACCACAGGAGGACATTGACCACCTGATCAAAAGCATGCCTAGGCGCATTGGAGAATGCGTAGCACATCAGGGTGTATCCACACATTATTAAAGGTCAAAGGGCTTTAAAGCAGTGCAATCATTTTGAAATTTTTAACATTTACTTATTATGCTTCATTAAGTACTCATACAAAATTTTATTAAAATAAAACCATTTAAACTGGGTGTTTGGATTTATATGTTACTTATTATATTTCAATTTTTTTTTCGAAAGTAACAAAAAGTAGCTAAGATTTTTAATACTTCAAAGTCAATCAAAGTTTCTTCAAATTCAAAAACCAATATAACTTACAAATTAAAAACAACCTTCAGTACAATTTAAATGAAAAACAGTTTCAAAAATACATGAGCTTGTATGCTCTTGCTACCCTGAATAACCAAGATTGCAACAGAAATCTAAGCAAAAATACTAGCATCACATCTAGAACCAACAAGTAACGGTATATGAATTGTGAAAATTCTGTATACTTTCGTAAAGGGTAAATGTCTGAACCTTGTCGTCACAAATCCTAAATTAAGTGTCTGAATAAACAAATTAAAAATTCATAACAATAGTATAGAAGCCTACTAAAAACACTCAGAAGTATAAATATAAAGTACATAAAATATGAATATCTGAAATATGATAATATAGGGATATTTCGAGTAAGGTAAGGTATGTTGTTTAAACAATAAACATTTTGCGTAAAGGTTAAGCAGGGAAACAAGAGTACTACAATTTACTACAAAAGAATAGACACCTAAGCTATAAGCTTGTGTGTGTCATACATAATACAAATTCAATGCATGGCTAATGGTCATAAAGTATATTAAAAATATATATAAAAAAAGAAATAAAAAAAATTAGATAGAAACGAAATGACTGAGTTGAGTCAAGCTACAGTCGATCAAAGTTATTTAAGATGAACTTCTTAATTCTTTTTTTGAAACTATACTTCGAGAGGATTTTATATTCTAGGGGTAATTTATTATACAACCTAATACCATCAAACTTTATGCATTTTTGGCAAACAGATTTATTCACTCTGGTATAAGTGTAACTTATATTTATTTTAGTTCTTGTTTCATAAGCGTGGCTGGTTGGAACATTGTTTCCGGAGTGAAAAAATTTCAGAGCAGCAAAAATATATAAATTGTTGAGGTATTTGACAATCTAGCAAATAAAAAACTGAGCTTTGACAACTGGTATAGAGAACTGCATTTTTCTTTAAAAATATTATGGCGCCATATTTTGTTCCTATCTACTTACTTTTCCAATTTTTTCACAGGTTGTACAGGGTGGTCAAGAACGCAAAAGAACTATTTAATTTTTGAATGTGCAGTTTCACATTCCTCGACTCCCCTACCCACAATCTTTTTTTTTATGCGAAGCTTTTTGCATTTTGTTTGATCGGTTTTTAGATTACCTTTCAAAATAAAAAATGGTAACGGCAGATCGCTATAATTGATATACTTTCAATATAAATTAAATCTATCTAGCCTTATCCCCTAAAGTTGAAAAGTCAAAAGGTGTTCCTATGTCTTTGCAAACTCAGGAACCAATCACACAAACCCCCATGTACCTTATATCAGAAAAAAGCTAATGAAAAAAGAAATCAAAAACTGTGTAAGGTTTGAGAACTGGTTAATTTTGGCTTCTTAACTACCTTGTATAAGCCATCCAGAAAACTGAAAAGGTAAATAGATAGGAGCAAAATATATGGTCATAGGTTTTTAACGAAAAATTCAGTACTTCATTACAGTTGCGAACGTGTGAGCTGTCAAAGTTCAGTGTTTTGATTTTGTTTAGATAGACTCAAGTTTAAAAAAAAACGGACACCTGCACATTCAAGCAGCCGGATCTTAGACTAAATATATTGGTATGGATGCACATTGATCCACCGTGAAGAGGAGCTTTCGATTAAGGCTATACTCACGCTAGTTTCCTTGAATCGATCAGCTTAGTTGCGTGCAGCACCATGAGTAGAAGCAAAGAGCTCATCACGTAACTGGCAGCAACTTTAGCATTGTCTGACCACAGGGCCTCACAAATCGAACCGCAATTGCTCCACTTTTCTTCTAAATGGTCTGCGATTTTGGTCGGCACATTGGAAACCGCTTCTTCCAGAGGGAACCAAAAGTCGATCATCAGGGTCTCCATCAAGAAGTACGATATCAGGAACTGGAAGAAGACACAGGCCTCCTGTGAGAAGCGAAAAATGATTTCCTTTGAAGCGGTTGATCCGTTTCAAGGTGCCAAAACCGTATCTACTTGAAATCGGACAACGCAAATCGCCATCTATCGCAAGAATTGACCTTTGTGGAGAATGCATAGCAGCTACTTGTTGAAAGTCTAAATATACTAAGTGACATATAAATCCGAACACCCAGTTTAAATGATTTTATTTTAATAAAATTTTCTATAAGTACTTAATGAAGCATAATAAGTAAATGATTGCACTGCTTTAAAGCCCTTTGACCTTTAATAATGTGTGGATGCACCCTGATGTGCTACGCATTCTCGAACGCGCCTAGGCATGCTTCTGATCAGGTGGTCAATGTCCTCCTGTGGTATCTCATTCCAGGCAACCACCAACTCATCTCGAAGTGCTTCTAGAGTCTGAGGAGGACGTTGCAAATCGAGCAATCTCCTAGCCATCATATCCCACACGTGCTCAATTGGGGATAAGTCGGGAGATCTTGGTGGCCCTGGTAACAATGTGACATCATTATGTTGAAAGAAGTCTATTGTGACTCTTGCAACATGTGGTCGGGCATTATCTTGTTGGAAAGTTGGATCTGCCAGGGTGTCAAGATAGGGTAAAAGATGGGGTTCTAGAACTTCGTGGATATAACGCTGCGCGTTCATGTTACCTCTGATGAAGATTAAAGGTGAGCTGGAACCATAAGCTATAGCACCCCAAACCATAACTCCAACAGTGTGATGAACATGTCTTTCAACAAAAAGCTGTGGATTCCTCCTTTCACCACGTCGCCTTCTAACCCTGGCACGACCATCGTGCATGCCTAAACGAAATCTAGACTCGTCACTAAAGACAATACTGTTCCATTCCTGATCCCAGAGTGACCGTTGTCTGCACCACTCAAGGCGATTACGTCGGTGTTCTCGAGTTAAAGGGAGGACCCAGTGTGGCCGGTATGAAAACAAGCCAAAACTTCTCATTCGTCGGTAAACACTTCGCATGCCAATAGGTCTTCCGTGTTCTGCAAACCATTCATTTGCAATGGACCTGGTAGTGGAGAAACGGTCCCTTAAGGCCAATAATCATAGGCGGCGATCTTCACGGTCTGTTGTTCTACGGCGGCGTCCAGTGCCCCTTGCTCTTTGCGTACGGCCTTCTCGAAGCCATGCCTGACAACACCTAACCACAGTGTCTACACTTCTTTGCACTCTAACTGCAATTGCCCTAAAAGAAAGTCCAGCTTCCCGAAGTCCCACCATACGGCCCCTATCAAACTCACTAAGTTGACGAAATCGTACAGGTCTCCGTACTCTAGGCATCGTAACCGATCGTAAAGGATGTCAAGAACCAAAATCCGCCAACGTTGATTCTTTACTCCGGCTGAAATATTCATTTTCAGAGCGTTAGTGAATCAAAAAAAGCAGTATAAAAACCGGAATGTCCAACTGATATGGCTGAAAATTTTTTCACTTGTTATTTACAGTAAGATAAATACATTCACCAACTTTTATTAAAATAAAACCATTTAAACTGGGTGTTCGGATTTATATGTCACTTAGTATATAAAGTGAGAGGAGTTGGGTTTTATCGAATTTTTGTTGCTGTGAGAAAAATCAATAAAGTTATTGAAACATACTTTGTGGTGTACGAAAACACTATTGAGGTACGGATGACTACGAACTTTGTGAATTTGCAAATCTTGATTTTTTAATAGTTATCTTCATGTTTCGATGGAAGCAGTCAGCATTTGGAGTTACCTAGTAGACATCATTTTAAAGGTGAAATGTACAATAAACAGACTCAGAAAATTCCAGAATTTTTTGTTTACAAAATGAAGGAGCTGATAACTTACCTCGATTATGACTGTTCCAAACCATCCTAAACACCTCAGACTATGCGGGTAGACATCAAGGTTGACCAAAAGTAGCAGCAACGCAGTCAAGAAGACCAGCAGTGATAAGAACGGAGCAGATTCTCCGACTTCAGGTGCCGAGCGATAGATTTGGTAGCCCAGAGTTAGGCTGAGGTAAGAGACGAACACCGAAAAGAGGTTCGTCATGGTTCATATTCGGAATTTACATCGGCCGTAGTATCATTTGACATGACACTTCAAATTTTATAGCGCTTTGACAAAGTCAAGGTGACACTTGTTGGCATAACGGTTATTATTGTTACACTAGTTGACATGTACCGGCAATGTTCAGAGCCAGCGCAGGTAATGGATTATTTGGATTAAGACAACGAATTACGATCAATTAGAAGAAACAGAACCTATACAGGGTATCAACACGTCCAAATATTTGGGAAACCAAGGGTATTTTCCATACAGGACACCCTGTATAGTCGACTTGACTGTTTGACTATCATACGATGATTTTTCTCCCCGAGGTTCCTATCCTTTAGATCTTCAAATGCGCGAGTGGCCATTTTGTAATACCTACACATATACAGGGTGTTTCACAACTTATCCGACAAATTTTAACCACATACAGGTATTCAGGGTGTTTCAGTTTATTGTTGCATAACTTTAAGATTCGATAGAACTTTTAAAATTAATGCATAAAGTCTACACAAACATGGGTCGACAAATGCGTGGCTTCCGAAATACAGGGTGTTTAAATTTACTTTCTAAAATAGTTTTTTTTAAATATTTCGAACAATATTTGATGTATAACAGTGAAAATTGGTACACAAGGGTTTTTTGGTACGAGAAAACGAACCATGGGCATAGTTTTATTGTAGCCGCTAGAGGGCGCTCTCTACTGCACCTGTAGTGTATTAAAATGACCGAAAAAATTTTCTTAGCCCAACTTTTTGCTTTTTGAATAAAAAAACTGATTCTTCGCACTTTTCGACATAAAAAAGCTCTCTTGTAAATTTTCGTTATAGTTAGCCTTTTTTGAGAAATTTCGATTTTTAAGGTTCGATGCATTTTATTTATTTATGATAAAATAACGTTAAAAAGTCAGTATCTCGATAATTTTTAGAAGTAGGCTGTGCCTGCAAATATTTTTGAAATTGAAAGCAGAATAAGGTTAAACGTCAATCAGTTGACAGTTAGTTTTGTTGTCTGTTGAAACCTGAAACGTTTTTTTGCAATTGTGAATGCAAGAAATTTAGTTTCTTTTACCTGTTTTTTTTGTAAGTTTTATAAAAATGCCATTTTTATTCTGCAATCAAGAGTTAGTGGATATTCATTTTCTGTATGGCCTTGTAAATGGAAACGCAGCAGAAGCAGCCAGAGAATACGCACGAAGATTTCCAAACAGACGACATCCAAGTCGCTCAGTATTTGTAAGAGTGCATCGCCAAATAATTGAAAATGGTTTTGGAAATCTCCAAAGGGATCAAAACATGAATGTTAATACACTACAGGTACAGTAGAGAGCGCCCTCTAGCGGCCACAGTAAAACTATGCCCATGGTTCGTTTTGTCTTACCAAAAAACCCTTGTATAAAAATTTTCACTGTTATACATCAAATATTGTTCGAAATATTTAAAAAAGACTATATTAGAAAGTAAATTTAAACACCCTGTATTTCGGAAGTCACGCATTTTTCGACCCATGTTTATATAGACTTTATGCGTGAATTTTAAAAGTTCTATCGAACCTTAAAGTTATGCGATAATAAACTGAAACACCCTGTATACTGTTACGAAAGAAGTTGATTTCCCAAAAAATAGATGTAATGAAAGTCCTACAGAAATTATGTTATAAACTTTCAATAATAAATTGAAAAATAAATATCTGTATTTTGCGTTCATCGTCGTGATATTAGAACACGCATTAATAATTTATTGTAGGAAATGTACCAAACAACTTACGAAAACAAAATACCAGGAATTTTTCGTTTTTTCGTACTGATAAGAACGTGTAAATAAGGTTTGACCTGTATCATGGGTGATCTAAATGGAGAATGTCCGATTTTTGTGAAGTTAAATGAGAAAGTATTTTACGAGTCTTTTTCTAGTTATTTATTAACAAAAATGGCACATGTGTACACTAATGAGGAGTTAGTGGACATTTTTTTAGCGTACGGAGAAGCAGGGCAAAATTCGCGAGCGGCTGCTCGTTTATATGCACACCGATTTCCGAATAGGCACGCATGCCGACGACGAAATTTTAGATATTATGGAAGAAAATTCGGGAATAAGCCCAACAGGTCCCAGTGTCACATGCAACAGCGTGGCGCATGCAGTCAATGGAAACCATTTTGAACAGCTTTTATAAGTAAGTGAACTGTTAAACTGTAGTATTTTATTATCTCGATTTCTGCAGGACTTTTATTACCTTTTTTTTGAGAAATCAACTTCTTTCGTATCAGTGCATATGTGGTTAAAATTTGTTGAATAAGTTGTTAAATTCCCTGTATTTAAATAGGTCAGCCCTTCTCTGCCCTTTATAGACAGGGAAAAATATGAGCACACCTATAGACGATTTAGCATGTGGCGAATCTAAACAAGAAAGCCATAATTTAAATAATAATAATAATAATAAATGCCTCTATTTCCAAACAGTTTTAAAAAAAAATCAGAAAGAGAAACATGAGTATTAACCAAAAAAAAAGGAAAATATAAAAAAATAAATAAAACAAATGTCGACTGTCTGAAAACCACAAGGGGCAGTTCAATATCTAGTGCTCTTTCACTCATCCCTTGATATTATAAGAAACATTATGCCAGCAGATACATCCATCAAGCATATAAAAAAATAAGATAGAAAAGTGAGACATGTGGTAATAAATTTAAAAAAAAAGAAAGTCTAGAATAATATATAGATATATACACACACACATATATATGTATATGTACACATATATACCCATATATACCGCATAAACAAACGCCAATATGAGCGACAATTAAGTTTGAAAAAAAGAGCAAAGAGAAAACGTGGTGGTAAATGTAAAAGTCTAGAATGATATACAAATACATATACGTACATTTATGCATCATATGAAAAAAAAAATATAAATAAAATAATGGAATGCAAACAAAATAAAATTGAAATTCCGCAGTAAGAATAATTCTACTTTATACATTCAAGGTAAGAATCACGCAAAACCGCTTTGAACTTGTGAATTTCATATGATTTGAGGTACTGGGGGATAGGATTGTATAGCTTATATATATTATACGTAAATGATCTTTCATAAAATTTAGTTCTGTGGAATGGAGCGGTAATGATTTGTTTCGAACGAATATTTACGGAATGGATGTCTTTTCTGAATGTTATTTTCTCGTAGAGGTAATGAGGCTGCCTGAGAGTTAAAATTTTATGATAAAAGCATATTGTGAATATCTCAAAAAGGAGCCTTCATATTTAGCCACCGGAGTTCTTTCAGCTTATGACTAACTCTTTCAAATTTTCTTATGCCATATATAAAACGTATGCATGAGTTCTGTGTTCTCTGTATTCGCATGAATGTATCACAATCTAAACATGCAGAATAAATTGGAACACAGTACGAAAACTGTGATAAAACCAAGGTTTCGCAAAGACTTCTTTTGCTGGGTATCATCTGCATAAACGTGTGACTTACAGAATTCCAAACATTTAAGGATCTGACTGGTATATATAGTGAAGAGCAATGGTCCAAGTATAGATCCTTGCGGTACACCTGTGGGAGTGGGCTTTGAACTAGATATTTCATTCTTCAGTTGTACACACTGTGATCTGCCACTTAAGTATGAATTAAAAAGTTTTACGCTGTCAGTAGACAATCCACATGATAAGATAGACAGCAAGACATCATGGTTAATTGTATCAAATGCCTTGCTGAAATCTAAAGCGGTAGACTCACCCAGATCATTCGACTGAATGATATCATCAGTTATTTTAGCAAGTGCAGTGGTGCAACAGTATCCTGGACGAAAACCTGACTGTGTTTTAGGAAGGATACTTTGACTTTCAATATGTGTTCTTAATTGTATTTCAATAATGTTTCCAACCAATTTCGAGAGACCAGCTAGAATACTTATTGGACGAAGATTTGATAGCTGTTCAGCTTCCTTACATTTTGGAATTGGCACTATTAAGGCCACTTTCCAACACTTTGGATATTTTCCCTCAAGAAAAATTGTATTAATAAGGTGTACCAAATATGGTAAAATATACGGGACACACAATTTGACAAGATGTATGCTAATGCCATCATTTCCTGGTCTGGTGTTTTTTATCCTACTTAATGTGTCAAATACATCTTGCTCAGATACCAATTTGAATGTTAAAGGATGGTCCACAAATTGTTTCCTAAAATTTGTACCGTTTGAAAATACCGGTTCGAGCAGTGTGGAGATATTCATAGAGAGATACCGCCAGTTTCTAGCTACATTATTGCAATTTAGGCTGCCATAGATCAGCTCATCTTGCAACAACGCCTGCTCTGTACCAAGCGGTCTATGACAGCTGTCATTGATGCACAATTGTACGTATGTGGCTACAGTTCCTCTCGCGGCTTTTGGCGGCTACCTTGCAATGCCGTCCAAAATAAGTAAACAGATTGACTAGTGGGTAGCTTAACCTTGTCAGGGGAAATTGCCCACTGCGAAGCTACTACTCGCTCTTGCACGCAAACATGAATTCCCGTATAGCGGCCATCAGAAAAATGAAAGTTGCTATCTTATTTTTCTTGAAATCATGTCCGAATGATGTCACATTTTGACAGCTGTCAAATTAACCGTTTTGGATTAACTGGCAAAAAAACAAATTCCGCCTTTTTCGACCTTTCGCTGATATTTTCAAGACCAACTGACCTATCGTAAATCTGAAGCCGGCTATCGAAAGCACTATGTTTCCTCTAAAACTTCCCCCATTTAACCTTTGCTGAAGCTATAACAGCATCCGAGATCCCTGTATAGAGAAGCGAATCTGGGACATCCCATTTATAAAAATGCTGTCAGAATTGCCACTTAGTTATAAGCGACTCTGTAGATAGCGGCATATTTCAAAATAAGGATCGTACATTTGCCTATGATTTAAGTATATTTTATACAGGCTGGGCAGAAAGACTTTCCCGATTTGAGAGCAGAGAAAAACTGAACTAATCAAGATATAGAAAAAAAACTTTATTTTTTTGGTGCATTGTTTGCCAAATTGAAATGGCGGACAGAAGAGGTCTTTTTCTATCACCTCAGATCCCTCAAAAAGTTTTTAGCCCAACGGAATTAATTATGTAGAGTTCTTAATTTTTTTTAGTAAAAACTCCAAAATCTAATACACAAAGTGAAATAAAAAAAAGAGTATTTCCACCTAATGATTAATTTATCTCATTGGCTGATGTTGTACCAATCTTACAAAATCAACATTACTTGCCAGCTGCATGTAGTTTTTTATTTATAAACTCATAAAGGGTTACAAAGAAAAACAAAAAAATGTAAGTCTCAATTTTGAGCTTCTGTAAATAAAACTAAAAGCGTTCACGTTGTTAGAATTCTTTAAGTCACAAAAAAGTTTTACTAACTTATCGAAGTTGAAAATTTTGTGTACAGGGGAAGGAAAATGTGAGTTTATAAATTAAAAACTACATGCTGCTGGCACGTAATGTTGATTTTGTAAGATTGGTACAACATCACCCATTAAGATAAATTAATCATTAGGTGGACATACTCTTTATTTTTTTTTTATTTCACTTTGTGTATTACATTTTACATAATTTATTTACAGAATTAATTCCGTTGGTCTAAAAACTGTTTGAGGGACCTGGGGTGATAGAAAAAGACCTCCGCTGTCCGCCATTTCAATTTGTCAAACGATGCACCAAACACCCGGTATATAATCCGATTTTAAGTCAATGCATTTTGCAAATGACATCACTCAAGTGTGCGCCTCTACTGTTTATACACTGAGTGAGCCTCTCCCGATAATCTTCCGTCACGCTGCTGATCATGTCAGGCGGAATGGCAGCAATTTCCTTGATTATCGTCTCCTTGAGAGTGACTAGCATTTGGGGCCGGTGTTGGTACACTCTTTCCTTCAGGTAGCCGCAAAGAAGAAAATCCGCATGGTATCAAAGCGAATGCGAAAAGCACGCTGCGCCACGGTGAACCTCCATTTTGAATAAGCTCATCAACGACGGAAGCACGGTGCGGTCTTGATCAAGCCACGATTTGTACTAAGAATGGCAGGAATAGATACGTCGAATGATATATCCACAATGAACTATCAACACTGATGGAACAGGCGTAACGCGAAATCATTGCGGCTAGAATGAGAAACCAGAAGGATAGAGCTAGTCAGGGCAAAACATTGGCAAAACATCGTGGTCCATTGTGGTATTTCCATATATGTTCTAAGGATTTTTGGTGAATGTTTGTTTTTAGTGACGTTAAATATTAATAGTGGTAGTTTGCGACAATTATTATAAATATTTTTATGATGGACAGCCTTCAAGAGCTGTTGTTTTATGTGATATTTGTTTAAAAATGGTTGAATCTTGCAGTGCGGTGAATTGTGAATTGCAATAGACGCAGAAAAGATGTGAAAATGAAGTTTCACAGGTTGGTTTTAAACAACTCATTCATTTTTATGTGAGAATTACCTGTTAATTGGTAATTTGAGGAAATATCTATATACCTACAGATCCTAACATGAGGAAGTTGTGGTTACATGCTATAAGAAGAGAAAACTTTACTCCCAGTACAAAAACGGTAATTTGTGAAAAGCTCCAGAGGATTATGAAGTTAGTGTTCATGGAAATAAGGTACTAAAAAAGGTGCCACTTCCATCTGTGTTAAACATGAATACATAATTTCTAGAATGAACTGTGGTATAACCTATATTGTATTATAATGAAAAACTGTGCATCTACAGTATTGTTAATGCCATTGTGCACAAATATTTTGTATATATATATAACTTGAGACGTGGTCATTGTCGTCTAGACCAGTTAGGTGAAAAATTAATCCTGAACGTAAATAACAATTAGCAACATCCTCACATACTACTGTAAGTTAAGTTAATTTAATTCATTTTTCACCTATATATATATATATATATATATATTATTTTATTCCTGGAAATGTCCCACATCTTCATGAATAACAACTGTATCAACAAAAAGACAGATGTTAAACAACTGAGTGTCATTTACTCATATTTGCTAAACTGCGAAAAATTGGAGAACTTACATATCTCCCCAAATTTCGACTCTTCACAACCATAATTAGAATCTGTGTTTTGGCCGATTCCACCAGTAAATTTCATTCCACTCAAAATATAATAATTCTCTTCTCACGATTTATTAATAATTGTTAATTTAAATTCCCATTAATTAAAATATAGTTTATTCAACTGCCTCTGGTCAGTTTAACAAATTCTTACATAAAATTCTGAAAATCACATCATCTGAAGTGATTTGGCAACGTTTGGCACACGCCCACAATTCGTTCCATCTTTCAACACAGACATTGACATCCTTCGGCCTTCTGTCAAAGGGTTTCATCTCACTCATTATTCCATGACCACTAATTTTTGCAATCATCAAGTGGCTTCACGATCTAATGCTCTAATGTTTTTTAAATAATTTTTAATCTGTTTTTAACTTGTTCTTGTCATATTTTATATAATTTTGACCATTGTACAATCTATCCAGCTCTCACCATGTTACTGGACGTTTCCCTCATCCTATACGTAAACAACAATTAGCAACATCCTCACATACTACTGTAAGTTGAGTCAATTTAAATTCATTTTACACTTTTGTTGCTACTGTTATCATTGTAATTGCAGCTCCTGATGATGATGGCAAAGTCCATTGAAAGCTAGAGAGAATTAAAAAAAGTATAAAGAGTCCTCTTTGCTTAAATTTTGTCGAAGTACCCAACAAAAGGCGGAAGCTTTAATTTTTCACCTAACTGGTCTAGACGACAATGACCACGTCTCAAGTTATATATATATATATATATATATATATACAGGGCGACTTTGAAGTTGAGTCATTATTTTTCAGATAATGATTGTAGAAGGAAGATAAACCAAAATATATATGTGTGTAAAAATTAAAAAAAAATTACCTTGTTTTATAAAGTATCCTCCCGACAATTATTTCAGTGCGGACCTGTATTTGATCGTGAGGCCTTGGAGCACCGGCATGCCGTCCATATGTGAGGTCTTAAGTCACCTGATTCACGAACCCGTTGTACTACATTAACAAAGGCACGAGGGGTTGGTTGCACTCGATTGGGGAACCGATCCGCATAAACATGTGCCATTTTTTATTTCGTTTGAGCCACGCAACAGACACCACTATTCACTACCGACAGACACTGACTGAATACAACTGAATGAAATTATTGTAAAAACATCGTTCCAAATTCTTTCGCTTTTTTGTTTCCGATGCGATGAACCGATAAGGCGGATTATATCCGTTGTCGCCAAACACGAGCACATAATATTATTATTGAGACAGGGCGGTACTCAAACTTCCAAAGGGCTATAACTTTGTTACTTTAATTTTACCAGAAAAATGGTCAAGGAAAAAACATTTCTTTTGATCAGATCTACTCACTGTTAAAATAAATGACTCAACTTCGAAGTCACCCTGTATATAAGGGTTTTTTCTTTGTACACTTTAATCTCTACAAAACTGGACGTGTTCCCTCTACATTTAAAATAATATAAATTTAAATGTGCATAAATACTATTTGGGACATTATAAAGATATATAGAAAATAACATGTATTTATTGTGATATTTCTTAGAGCTCTTATTTTTTATATGTAAGAAATAGCATATTAGTGCAGTTAAGTTAATTATAAGCAGACATGTAATCTCTTTGCTACCTGAATTATTAATTACTTATGTTAAATACTAATTTTTATATCTTCAAATGTGTAAAGGAGAATTTATTGGCAAGTTTCTTACATATGTATATATAAATAAAAAAAACTTGGTTTTTTAATTATAATTACGTTTCCAGGATTTTATCTCGTTCCAGTTGCCTGAATAACTTTTAAATCTTCTCTAAGAATCCTCGGTTTCCTATGCAATTCATTCAAGTCCTCGCGCTTTTTGCCCTGACTAGCTCCATCTCTCTCTCGGTCCTCTTTGTCGTATGTTGGCCGCATTATCGTTTCATTGTAAAAATGGGACGGGGCGATTCCATCAGTGTTGACAGTTCATTGTATATCCCCCACCGCGCTATCCCCCCTTTGGCGTAGCTGGACGGTTTCCAAATGAGGGAGGTCTTTCTGCGCCACCCTGTAATAACGGCGTTTTCGACCGATCACTGTATGTGACAACTTTATTTATTAAGCAGATTCGCCCTTCAGCTTACTGGCTCACAGTCTGGTCACCCCCTTTGAAAAAATATCCTTATCCGCTTGGGAATCTAGTACATGTACGGGTATTTTTTACTAGAAAATGAAACGAACTGTTACAAAGAAAGGTAAATATAATTGTTTATAGGTATATAAAATACGATACCGCTCACATAAAATTATATAACGCCTACTCCTGAAATATCTACACTTCCTTAACCGATCAGAGTATTATCATAGCATGGTGCAAAATTACATAATATCTAATATAACGGTAGCAAGACGTGACGTATAAAAAATTAAAAAATAAATCAACTATGTAATTGTGTACAACAGTATACATATAAACGACTAAATAAAATAAAGCAAATCTGAAAGGAACAAAAAAACTGTTTTTAATATATTTATACTGTAATGCCAGAAAGTATATACCTACATAGTAAGTTACGAATCTACAATTTTTTTGTTCCTGCTATATTTGAAATCACAATGTAACGAATCTAATCTATCACATTATATTTAGCTTTGTAATATCAATAGAGAGTACGAAAAAATATATGCGTAGAGTCAAGACCAGCTACGTTAACCCTTTTCCATATAGGTTCGAGACATGTAAGCTTAGATTTACGAATATAAAACAGTAGGGATGAAAGTTTCAACTTCTTATTTTGAATTGTTGAAGGTATTTCTGGGACCTCGGCCACCGTTGGATCAGTTTCATATCATAGGTAAATTTCATAGACGTCATTGAACTGATCGTTTGACATCTGTCTGTCTTACTATACAGGGTGTCCCAGAAATAACACGCCAGAGTGACACGGGAGGTCGATTAGAATCAGATAAATCAGATAAAATCAACGTGACCTTAGTAAAAGTTTTCTAGTTTTCGAGATATTGCCACTTTTAGGTTTTTTCAAAAAATCACTACTTTTTGTTCCTTTTTTTTGCCTATTACGAACTTCTAACTTATGCATTTTTTTCTGGGCTACCATTAATAGTTGGTTGAGACAACCGAGTATTTATCTCATTGAAAACTAACACGGTATGCTAAAAAAAATATACATTCTGTTTCAACGTGAAAACCTTTACTAAAGTTTGACTAAGGTACCTGTACCAAATAAGGCCAAGCTCCTTATAAGGCCATGCGTCGATTTTACAGACACTAGTTACATCTAGAATTAAATATTTCTACAGTTCTATACATTCATTGAGATGAGTTAGCACCCATAAATGTAGCAGGTGTGGAGCGGCGCTAGATGGCGCAGTGTCGATTTTCAACACGTGCCTTACAAAATTACTACTTTAAATTTGTCTTCGATTTTTCATGTTGTCTGCTTATTCTTGCGAAATCTGTTGTCAGTTCAATCAGGTAAGTCTATAGAACATATACAGCTAGTTATTTGTCGTCGCCAGGTTTTAAATATTTTGTATTTTATAAATTGTATGTTTATGGTTATATGTGCCTAATAAGGCCATGATAAACGGTCCCCATTACGGCCACTTGGCCTTATTAGGAACACGCTGGCCATTACAGCAGATGTCTTAAATTAAGATGTTTTTTTTTTCCAGAGACTATAGTCGAAATATGCCCTCTAAGAAAAGGGCGCTGTGGTCAACCGAAGCGCTTGTACAAGCACTGGATAGTATAAACAGTGGAACGTCGGTAAATCTTGCATCCAAAGAATACCAAATTCCACGAAGAACACTTCGCAATCATGTTCGTACAGGTGTGCGAGAAAGAAAACTTGGTACTCGTACAATTTTGTCTAGAGAGCAGGAAGATGAACTATGCTCAAGGATAATCCGATTATCGGATACAGGAATGCCCCTTACACCAAAGATTTTGCGAAAATCCATCTATTCCTATGTTAATGACAAAAAAATTCGACACACATTTAATGAAAATAGTGGAGTGGCAGGTAGAAAATGGTTGAAGTTGTTTTTGGACAGACATGAAAATATTCGCCAAAGGAAAGCACAGGTTTTAAATCCAGCTAGGGCACAGAAAGTAAATAAGTACATTGTAAACGACTACTTCAAAAAACTAGAAAGTTTGCTGATTAGACTAAACCTAATCAATCAGCCCCATCGTATCTACAATGTAGATGAGAAGGGATGCAGACTCACCATCCACCGCCAACCAAATGTGTTGGCGAGGAAAGGTGAAAGACGTGTTCACTATGTAGCTAATGAGCACGCAGAAAATTCCACAATAGTTGCATGTGGAAATGCTATTGGACAGGCAATACCACCAATGGTCCTGTTCAAGGGAAAACGTAAAAAGGATGAATGGGGTGACAATATGCCAACCGGAACAGTAACTGAAACGACCCAAAAAGGAAGTACTATATGACGGCAGCAGTGTTTGTTAAATGGCTAGACCATCTAGCAAACT